GTAACATCTTGAAAAAAAAAGTACGATTTTTACTCAAAATTCCGATTTATTTATCATTGTTAAATAAAAAATAATCACTAAAAAAAAAAACTCGACAGCGTTACCTCAAGAAACTCATAAACTAACTAAAAAGTTTTGGTTTTTTGATTTCAGATGATTCAGTGCCGAGAAATGTTGCGCACCGCAGGACTGTCTTTTTTTCGAGGCGCCTCCGTCGATCGCGTGCCATTTGCACAGTTTTTAATTTTTTGCGTCCAAATTTTTACTGAATATTCTTGAGATGTAGTTTTATTATTATAATTTTATTTCAATACACTGGCACTAACCAGAGCGCCTAAAAAAATTCATAAAAACATGCCTTCTTTTGACCGCGAATTAACTATACCCCTCCCTTAAGACATTACTTAAGATAGTCTGAAATAAGAACGGACTATGAATACCGCCCTATGAGACATGTAATTGTGTCTACCGAAACAATCACGGACACGACGAGATAAATGAATAACTTTTACATACTGTTACTTGCAAGATGTACAGATTTTATTCGTTCCTTCTTAATTATATTTCGAGCACATTATAGATTGAGCCAAAGAATACTATAGTTACCAAAAATAGAATTCATTTATCGTTAATAGTCGTTCAACTCATATACAATATGTATACGTAAAACTAGAACGGATATTTTCCAAATGGTATAAACTGTTTCATAAAATGACATGTAATAAAATAATTGAACTCTATACGGCCTATCTAAGTTTTGCAATTTATTCTAAATTTTTTTACCGAGTCCAAAAGTAAAAACGGATGACTCAAAAGAGGAAATATAATTACCGAATATTAAAAGAAACATACAACATTTTCAAATATTTACATAGACACAGTAAAGATTTTAAAAAGTAGTATTTCGATCAGATTAGTTACGTATGTACCCAATATGGCTAAATATGTTTTCCTCTTTTTCGTAAAAATATATTAAAGAAATAAAAATTATAAAGTGATCCGATGTTATTTTTACAAGATTATAAATTTATTAACATATTGACATGTAATATCAGTGCAATGTACTCTATTTTTAGTACCTAGGTTACCTAGGTCAGTACTTAAGTACAGATATAGATACTCTGGAAAAAAATGTACCGAGATACAAGTACAAGTATACTTTATTTGTAACATAAAATTTCAGAATAAATTACATTTTGATGGCAAAATGACGTCTTTAACGTTATTTTGATGTCAAAATGACAGAAAAATCCTGATCGATACTCGTGTTGTGGCCGAGCCAGCTGTTTGTAAGGGAGGACGTGCGATCTCACATGAGGAAGCGAGTTATCGAGCAACGGATACCGAAGAGAGTACCAAAGCGACCGGGCCGAGAGATCGGAGAGATCGAGAAGGAGCAAATTCGGTGATACGAGTGTCACGTTATTTGTAATAAAGCCGCCGATCGCAAGATTCTTGGCGTCGGGTAGATAGATCACACGTTAAAGACCCTTAAAGATTTCGAGCGGCCGACTTTCCAGTTGCCGCGTAATATAATGATTGCAAGCCGCGTGTCATCCGCCCAAACGCCCCTTTTAGAGAATTGCCTGTTGCCAAATAGGGCTCGTCCCTTGCCACAGCCGAGTCATATCCTACCTAATGCGTAATCGTATGTTGAGAGTAATTCTGTTTCACAGCCTAAAAGTCATTTTCGAATCTCCGCGCAAAGAAATATTCAGCGTAGCTATTACCTTTTTGCGTCATATTGTTCTTTGCGATTATACGAGCTTTTGCGTACTGATGTGATACGCTCTTAGTGGTAAAGTAAAGTTTGTGTCACATTTATTCGCCTTTAGTATTCGACAATAGTAAGAACTGTGGTAACGTCGAAATTTTGTGATCTTGCATAATCGGATTGTATTATCTTCGTCGCGAAACTCCGAAAGAAAAGCCTGGCTCGAAGATTGTACTTTATAAAGATCCTCTGTAATTTGACGTTGACAGAATATATTTGTTACTATACTATATTTTCTTCGTTAACTTACGTGCCGTTCTTTCAACCTATTTCTTTCAACCTCCGACATTCTTCCTGTCTGTAACGAACCACCCTCTCTGCCGTCGCGAACCGTTATTGAGAGTGAATACTGCGAATTAATCGAAAATTAACGAAAGAGTAGCACCCTTTCTCGTACCTGGCGCCCAACTCACATTTAGAGAGCACTTATAGCAACTTGTTAAAGATCCGCTTAATTAATGATTCTGGAAGTAAGATAGTGTGATTCTGAAAATCTAGTGGAGGACGCGACAAAGTTGTGCCATCACTCGCGAGTACGATTATAGTATCTACATACAACTGTTACAGGACGTTTTGCAACAAGGATACAATACAGCGAATTATTTCATCTATATTTAACGTTAGTTTAACGTTGATAAATGACAAAGATGTAATGTTCATTATATTACACTGTGCCCTTGATGCAAAACGTCCATAATTTCACTTGTCATACAGAGTCTGTTCATGCGGGGGATTCCACATGATTGATATAAGACGCTGCAATCGCATATTTTTTTTTGCTCTGGTTGACGATAATGACAATAACAATGTTCCTTATAATCTAGACACTTAATTCTTCGATAGCAAACACCTGGACATTCAGTTCATCGATGGCAAACACCTAGATAATCCACTTCCTCGGCGAACACGTAGACAACACCTAGACACTTAATTCCTCGACGATAATCTTGATATTTCATTTTGAATAATTTGCGCTGCACGCGTCACAGCCGTTATGTGTGGTCACGTGCAATGCTGGTTTGCAGGTTGGATAGATAACACAAAGTCAAAAGTCATCTGTTATTGAAAAAAAAAAACGAAGAAAAACGAAACATATATTTCTCTTTTGGTCGATGAACATGACACACGCTTTTCGGACGCACTCCTGATCTTTGCAGAATGTAGAAAGAGAAAAGTGCAGAGAATGGCTATGTTCGACATTGGCAGTGTTTCCGTACGCACCCAACCATGCTCGACAGCGCCTGCCCTCTAGTGCCAAAAATTCCTGCCGTTCTGCTTTGGACGACAACGATGTTAATAATGACGACGTTTCTTAAAGTGATGATAAAATTGAAAGATTCAGAGTAATTTGCGTCGTAATATCTCCGCTCGTAGGGCACGTAGAAAAAAAAAGGATTTTTTTCAAGTGAATCGAATGAAAATTGTAGAAGTTATGATGTACGCCGTTTTGAAAAATGACGTATTGAGAAAACGCGCGTTTAACGGTTTTCAATACGATGTTTCGTGTTTAAAATTAAAAAATGTACAAATTACCTTTAGTCTGCAATGCCTGCGCCATATAACTGTCCTTCAATATTGATATAAACCTCTTCAGCCTCTTTTCGGTTTGATTTTAAGGCTCTGTGAAGCCTTTTTTGACGCTTCGGTCAAGGAGCGCTCCGCTACTTTGATGCATCGAACGTCCGCTTTCACGCAGAAGTTATAACAGTTACAGTCTACACGCATCTGCTAGCACGTGTAGTACTAGTTTTACAGCCTTTCTTTATGGTACACACTATTCTTTTATCGCTTTTCATTATAATAAATATATTTTCAAACGTGATAGCGGATTTTCCAACACGAATCGTCAAACGCCGTTTGGCATATCTATTTACACTGAAAAACAGCTGTATACTGGCTACTCGAGTTATATAACGGACGAAATTTCTACTGATATCTATAGTTACCTACGGAAACCTATTGCTACTGTGTCTTTTCATATCTGATGAGGCAGCTGCTCCGAACTTTCGGAGCAGCGCACGGCGCGCCGATCGTGAGGGGACGCGCTTATAAAAATCAGTTGTGACTTTGTAAATACTTGGAATTTTCCATTTCAATTAGTGGAGTTATATTTTTACATGTATAAGCTATTTCATTTAAGTGAAAGAAATTTCGATTTTTTTTAAGTTTCAAAGTGGTGTAATCTCTTAAATATTTGTTATAGGATTGTCGATCATAAAATCATAAGACCTTACTTTTTTAAAAATTCATTAAATGATATCTTTGTGAACTTAGCATCCGTTTAAAACTCTAAGTTTTCAATTTAAAAAATGCTAGTATTTTGTTTGTAGTTGAGTGTAGTAACATTATTTTTGTTAATACTTCCGTAACTACAAAAGAAAAATCACTACAAACAACTACAAACCATTCTAAAAAAGATGTCGCAAGCGGATTTGAGATATCTCAAAGTTGGCAAAATTGCATTTTTAGTTTGTAGTTAATTTATTGTAATTCTCTCTTACGGCTCAACTACAAAAAATCAGAACATCACTATAAACAATTACAAACAATTCTAAATCAATATACATTGGCATTTTTTTTGTTTATCTGAAAGTCGGATGATTTATTTTTTTTTAATTTACTATTTTTTAATATATGGAATTACAAACAAAAACAATGTTATTACAATCAAAACACTAATATTTTTTTCGAAAATTTAAATTTTTTAAAGTCGAGTGCCAAGTTCTCGTAAAGGTATAAATGCAATTTATGCCGACTTTATAAAAAAACAGGTAGGGTGAATATGCCATCGATGGACCGGTGCAACGGATGGACCAGTTAAATATTTTTATTATTATACGTGATGTCGCAGCATTTGTGGTGAAGAAATTGTAAACTATTATAGTAAAGAAACAGCCGTCATATTAATTACATTCAGATAGGCGCAGCAAAAACGCTGCAATTTCGCAAGATACGTTTTTATGCATTTTGATCTTATTTTCCCCGATTTTGCATAGATTTCTAAAACTATTTAACGGAAATATACCTTATTAACCTCAATAGTTCATTAAAGTTGAAGACATACGCTTTAAAATGGGATACTTTACTTTCGGCAACTATTTACATTTAGGTACAGTATTATAGATTATGTGATAATTAATACATTTCGAAATGGACAACACGACGAGCCAATGAATGGTTAATCCATGACACATTGTATGAAACAAATGGGTATGGTAATTACGGCCTTAAGAAATGCTTACCAATCCAGTAATAAAGCATAAGACAGAGTTCTGTGTGTAATTATTTGTTCTATTATATCACTATTTTGTTTTTTTATAAAAATTTATATTTTATATTATAGTTTATATTATATTTTAATTAAATAAATTCTATATTATATTTGCTATTTTACGTAGACAATTTTGCGTGATAGATGCAATTGGTATACCTAAATGTTTATTTTATTTTATAATTTTTCAATTATTTTATACAAAATATGTATTATTTATAAAATATGTTTAGCTTGTAATATAGTTTTATAAATTTTGTATACGATTTGTATACGTAAATACAAGACTCGAATAAATACAAATTAAGAGCCTGGCTACTTAATTTATGCTAAGTATAAAATTTGGCATAAGTTAACCAACCAGGCTCTAATAGCTTTTAATTTGTATTTATTTGAATTTTATTCAATAGAGCCAAAAATAATATATTTATCATTATAATAAATATAAAAATTCTTTCAAGAACGACTTAATAAACATTATATTTTCAGTAAATTTTCATTATTTGACCCAATATTTTGAAGTATAATTGTTTAATGTTCGATTCAGATAGTCCAATGATGAATAACTGGTGGTCTATCCATGGCAACGTAATCCAATAAATAATCATAGAAAATTAAGTAATGAATGTCTAGTCTCACAAGATGAATGAATTTTTTTTCAAAGATAGTATTCTGAAAGTAAAAGGTTTTCGAAAGTATATGTACTATACAATTTGTTTTTCGGTGTAAAAATATAATTGTTATGAATTAATTTCTGGGGGGGGGGGGGTCCATTGATGGGCGTACTTACCCGAAATATTTACCTTTACATGCTAATCACCAAATGACTTTTTACTATCCTCGATAGTTAAGTGAACTTCAAGGAGGTAAATATCAAGGATAGTCGGAAGTTATTTGAAGGTTGGGAAATAAAGGTAAACACTTACGGAGGTGTATTTGTTAAAGCTGCTCGAGCAGAATTGAATGATTTTCGAACAGTAGAAATGATACGGTAGAAATGGAGCTGATAAATTACCAATACCCACATTTCCTACTTGAATGGTCCTCGTATATCTAATGCGAGAGATGTACTCACCGGAATGGTAACGGCTCTCATTGCGTGTCAGTCTGCGATTACCGCGTCTAGCTGCCGCCGCCGCTGCCGCTGCCGCTGCCGCAGTAGCAGAATTCGAGTTCCCAACGTTCCCTGTGGAGCCGCCAGAACTCGCGGGACTGGCGATTCCCCCAGGCGCTAGTCGACCGCCTGCATGCAACATAACAACAACAACAACGACACATAGACAGAAAAAGGACACTATGAGAGCTCGACTGCGAGGCGCAAAAGTTATCATCATTGTACTTCGAACACTGGTATCTAACTTTGAAACGCTGGGAGTTAGTACATCTTTTCTCTACTTTGCTATTGTTAATCGCAAATCAATCCAAATGAGTTTCTAAATCCAACAAAAAATTAGTCGGAAGAAACGATTCCAACTTTTTTCTACGTAACGCTAAAACTCGTCGGTTCGCGTAAAGGAGGCACGGCAGTGGCCGCTGCGCGTAGCTTAGCGCCGAGATACTACCAGTGTCTCCAGATCTTTACAGGACGATCATCCACTATAGTGGCGTTATTTTATTTTTCACGTTGTAAGAGCGTAATTTTTATGCCTGCTCTTAGCACTTAATCAAAATCCTAATATTAAGAAAATTGAAAAAGCAAAATGTAAATCAACATACAGAATCTCCCTGCAAAACTGTCTATGTATCATAAAATGTAACAAATTCTAATCGTGTAAAAAACTGAGAGACACATTTGGTTTTTATCGAACAATTTTATCAATCAAATTTTTAGTATTTCTGTACACAAATCTTTTGTTAAATAATTTTGTTAATCGAATTTGTCATAAATAAGCAAGATGTGGATTGTGTCCTTCAAGGATAAAAAAACGATGAAGGAAGAATGTTCTCTCTATTTGTCAAACTCTATTTGTGTTTATCACATATTACTGAGATTGTGGTGGCGAAGAGTAATGTTTTCTATGTATTTTTTGTATTTTACGTTTTTCATTTATATTTACCTTTAGTATTACTATAATAATATTTACATTAATAATAACTTAAACCAATAATAAATAACCTTTTATCCAAATTTAACATTCTTTTTACACTTATAAACCGACCACCTTCTACCTTCAAAATAAATATCTTTTTTGAAACGCATATAGCCATATTATTTTTATTTAAAGTACATCATTTCAAGAATATTAGGCTATATAAAACTGCATTTAAAATTATTATAAATTTAAAAAGTTATGATTTTGTAAGTAAAAATACTCATTTTTCCGAAGTTAACATGTTTATGATTTTTTTTAGTGTTAAAATTAAATATTTTATTACAACATCATTGTTCCATTTTCTTAAAGGATGAAATTAGATACTATAATTTTTTTAAGTTACTGAAATTAATACTATTGATAAGTGGTAACACTTCAGAAATGATTCGGGTCATTTTAACCCAGGGTAACCATCGTGTGGCTTTTTTCAAGTGTGACTATGAAGGGTTAAAAAGCATTTCTATCGATAGTTGAAGCTTCATCAAACCTCCAGTAGATTTGGGGTACGCATCCTCTTCTGAAGCCAGAAAGATTCTGAAATCTAGCGTGAAAGATGATGCTCGAATTATTTTGACCCATGGTGATCATGAAGAATTGAATCGCGTTGCTGTTTTTTAATGTATACCATCTCTAAATAGGGAGGTTCGAATGAAATAGTGCATGCATACGATGCCGGTTCCAGTTAGCATCGCATAGCCTCTCCTACTCAATTCCTACTCTCACTTCCATGAAACGCAATAGAAAGTTACGCAGGTTAATTTAAGCAACTCAGCTAGAGATTGAGCGACCATCCCCAGTGGAAAGCAGGGTCAGAGCTAATGAGGAAGAGAGAAATGGCCCTCAGATGTAAAGGGGCTAGCAACCTATTCTAGTAAAAAAACATATATTATGAAACCGAAGTAAGGACATCAGAATTAGAACGTGGAACACCCGTACACTGCATAGGACAGGAGCATTGAGGATGCTCATTGAAACACTAGATAACTATAGGGTGGGCCTACTGAATTGTACTGTAAGAAATGTGATAGATCGGACAAGGAACAAGCGAGAGACGGAAGTTAATTTACTATAGTTTTACATTACATACATATAATATTATATGTTATGATTGGTAATAAATGCCAATAAAACTAAATATATGCGTGCTCCTCGGTCAAAGCTAAACCGACCGTTACAAATAGATGGAAGAGAAATAGAATCGATTAGTGAATTTATTTATCTTGGATCAGTGGTAAACGCATCAAATGAAATTACGGCAGAAATCAAGCGGCGGATCCTGCTAACTAATAAGAAATATTTCGGGCTGGCCTCACAACTCAAATCTCGAGACAAAGTATAAGCTGTACAAAACGCTAATGTCATACAAACATATGATGTGGAGATATGGACACTTACAAAGAAATGAAGAATTACTGGGATGTTTCAAACGTAAAGTACTACGTAGAATATATGGCACGATTATGGATCGTGGAGATGGAGGAAGCAGTATAACCATGAATTATATTAACTATACAACGATTGTGATATTGTGAGGAGGATAAAAATCAATCGTCTAAGTTGGATGAGACACGTGATCAGGATGGACTCGAAAACCTCACGCATATATCGATGCTACAACAACCAATGGTACAATGACGCAGAGGAAGACTGCATTTCGTGGATAACGTAGAGGACTTGAGAGGGACTATAGGAGTGAGGGAATGGAGAAGAAAAGCGCTGAATAGGAGCAAATGGGAGAATGTTCTAAAGCAGGTCGGGGCTCATAAAGAGCTGTAAAGCCAAAATAATGATGATCTTTAAATAGGGTGGTTCTTATTTTTTGATTTTTCGAATTCTTTCCGCTTCATCCCCTAAAATTGTTCCAATCCACAAAAATATAATTTCTGTAAAAGTTTAATTCAATCCGATATCGGCAACCCGTGCCTCCTGCTCGTTAAACGTAGGAGTTCCGTTACACTACACTATCAGCCCTGGTTTTTATAGCGTCTTTTCCACAAAAATCGGCCTACAGGACTTCCATTTTTTTAAACATATGTCTTGCTTTTTTTGAGACCTCATACGTCTCATTTAAACAATTAGGTAAATTGTTAATGTCTGAAAAATAAAAAGTTATTACATATCCAATAAAAAATTGATTCATAGGCTAATAAAGTGTCGGTAATATATTTAAAAGGGCAAAAATTAGTTTAAAACAGGATAAATTCCCTGTGTAAGGATTGCTCTAAAACTGAAAACCACTGTATCTCCGAAGCCTTTGAGGTACAAAGAAAAAGGAAAACGGTACAAACGGGTACAAACGATTTTCTTTCAAATGGTATAAAAACAAAAAATTAAAAATTTTATAGTTGCGCGCTGATAATTTCTTATTTTTCACTTCTTTTTTTTATTCTTTGACACACAAACGAAATAACGATCGGTACAAATAGATACAAAAGAAGTACAAACGCGTTATGGTATCCATTTTTATTTTTAAGTTGGGCGCCAGGTTCACGAAGGTCTAAAACTGTCATGTCGTGATAACATTTGCTTTGATATAAAAGCTGTAATCTGTATCTACGAAATAGGAGACCACAGACTAGTAGTTTGCATGAAGAAACATCGTTAAGTTCTTAGAATTGGACTTAAATGTTTAATTAAAATACTATCGTTATACATAAATTTATGTTGCGCGTGAAATATTGATATAGTACACTTTTAACCTTCTATCGCACAGTACTCTAAATTCGGAGTACTTTCTAAATGAAAATGACATTTCGAGTTACACACTAATAAGAGGTTTTTTTTTTTTCTAATAAAAGGTATTTTTCCCAGTATATTCACCCAAGATACGAAATTCACAAGGTAATAATAAATATAACGATTCAATGGAGGTATCACTTTTATCGAACACGCGGTACTTTTCTTTTGGAGAAATAAGGCTTCTCGTACGTATCTCGTGTACGCCTCGACATTTCAAATGTACTCCCAGCATTTCGACTTCTTAACAAACGATCGAGAACAGAGCTATGTCACATGTCATGGAATATAATCATTTCCAAGACGATCATACAGATAAAGCACTGATATTAAGGCCGGTATTCATAGTCAGATGTTATATTCAAAACTGTCTTAAATACAGTCTTAAGAAGTCACGAATCAATCAGGCCGTATTAACGTCTTAAGATATAAGAATTAAGATAGTCCTGAAATAAGAACGGACTAACGGAAAACCGCCCTAAAGTCTAGATCGAATGGGTAACCGTAAATTTTTTCTCCTCACAATTACTTCGGATAACTTCTGATTTCGAGATAACGTTTCCCTTTTTATGTTTGGTGGTTATACTTATGTCCCTCATAATTTACGTAGGGTTTTTATTTCGACATGTATCTCTAATTTTTGGCGGTACAAGATTAAGATATGTGATGTGACAATAACACATAATTCGTCTATGTAAATAAATCATCCTACTTAATAGGTAAAACAAACATGTTTAGGATTCCCTTAAAGCAAAAAAAAACTGTATTGAATTTCATAGGACCATATACGAGAAACACAATCTATAGAAATTAATGCCTTAAACGGTCTCTAGCTGAATCTTAAATGCTTGTATAATTCTATGTGAATTTATATAGTACGTAAGTATACCTTAAAATGCGCGCCGAAATGATTTTTTGGTCTTGAAACACAAATTCTACTAAACTACCGCAGTAATATCACAAGTTAAAGTGACTAGCAATTTAACAATTTGCCGCTTTTTACGCATTTTAAAACGCTCTTGATAATGCTGAATAACATAGTAAAATAATTAATTCTTATTGCGAAAAATATTACCTCGGCTGGGAATCGAACCTGGATCTCTGACACTCCGTGCGAGCGTCCTAAGCGTCGTAATTATTAAAGATTTTAATATGACATTCAACATTATTAAGATCGTTTTAAGATGCGGCGTAAAGAGCATCAAATTGTTAAATTGCTAGTCAATTTAACTCGTAATATTGCGGTAGTTTAGGAGAGTTTGCGTTTCAAGACCGAAAAATCATTTCGACGCGCATTTTAAAAGATTACATACATAGAGCATATATAAATTCACACAGAATTTACAAGCACTTAAGATCCATCTAAATCGGTTAAGGTATTTATCTCTATAGGTTGCGTAAAATAAGCTTGTTT